CTCTCTCTCTCTCTCTCTCTCTCTCTCTCTCTCTCTCTCTCTCTCTCTCTCAACGCGTGGAGTTGAAATGATGATGCGGCAAGTACGGAACTTTCGGAATGTACGGATTTCCGTAAAAACAAAGAAGAATGGAAGCACTGCAGAATGGTTTTTTTCTGTTTATTCTCTCGGAACCCATCGCAAATCCGGTAGTTTTGAGACCTTATCGGTATGTCGGTAGAACAGGCCCAAAATCGGTATCTACCGGAAAAATCGGTAGATTTAGGCAGCCCTGCAATTGAAAAGAGATCAATTTTAGCTGCTTTGAGAAAGTTCAATTTTGGTGGTCAGTTTATAAATATGATTAAAACCATTATCACTAACACAGAGTGCTGTGTGCAAAATGGGGGGTGGTTGTCTGGCTGGTTTAACATAGAGCATGGAGTTAAACAGGGGTGCTGCGCCAGTCCACTTCTTTTTGTCCTTGTAGTTGAATTGATGGCCATAAAAATAAGAAGTAATAAAGATATAAACGGTCTGTCATTACAGAGAAGTGAAAGGACAGTGCATCTGGGTAAGATTCTTCAATTCGCAGATGATACTACGCTGTTATTGAGAGACCAACATGATCTTGTTGTTGCCCTCAGGAACATTGATAACTTCTCTAGGATTTCGGGCCTGAGACTCAATAAGCTGAAATCAAAGGACATGTGGATAGGTAGGAGTAAACATAATGATCAGACTGCAGGGAATATTGCCTGGATGGCAACTGGTGGCAAAATGAAGATACTTGGGATTTATTTTAGTGCAGTCGAGGAGGCTTCTAAAATTGATCTAAATTGGAAAGGAAAGTTAGAAACAATTAAAAATATCATGAAAATGTGGCAAAAGAGAAACCATTCACTCTATGGAAAGGTAATACTCTGTAAGACTTTCTTGCTGTCGCAAATTTCGTATATCATGCAAGCACTGTTTTTACCTGACGAGGTCACTAGCTACATTGACACACTGTTTTTACCTGACGAGGTCACTAGCTACATTGACACACTGTTTTTACCTAACGAGGTCACTAGCTACATTGACACACTGTTTTTACCTGACGAGGTCACTAGCTACATTGACACACTGTTTTTACCTGACGAGGTCACTAGCTACATTGACACACTGTTTTTCAAATTTTTATGGCAGACAAAGTTCTCGAACCGAAAGGCTAAGGAGAAGATTAAAAGAACAGCCATTTGCAAGTCTGTAGAAAAGGGAGGGTTAGGTATGATCAGGGTGCGTGGTCAACAAAAAGTGTTCTTATGGAAATGGATGAAGCGTCTAGCAATAAGCAAAAGTTTAGCTGAGGACGAGATGCAAATTACAGACATCATTTTTAATCAACTTGGTGGTCTAAAGTACTTTTTAACCTTTTCGCATCACGCCGCACCACATTGGCCCGCTATTTTTATATTACCTCGGAACGTACCGCTCCTCTTTGGCGCGCGCTATTTCACAACCTTTCACGACGGGACGCGCCACCCTGGATTCCCCTACTTGTGCATGCTACAAAAAGTTTGCCTTTTCGTTTTTCATTTTCAAAACTTTCAAAAAGTATTCAGATACCATTTTGGAATTGTTTCTTGCTGTCAGAAGTTGAGTTGCTTGAACACTTTTCGATTTACCGGCGAATTTCTGAGGTCACTTTCCAGAGTGTTCCCGAGACGTTTTTCATACGATACGCTGAAAGTTGTGGCGCTTAGACCGACGCTGAGAAGACTCACTCTCAAAGGAGTCACAGATTCTATCTACATAGAATGGGCCGATGATGAAGATGATTTTGAAAGGATGAGGATACTATGCCGGTTGACTATAAAGCATAACCGTTACATTTTTGCCTAAGAAGCAACCAGTAGTGAATCGAGAATGCGTGAGATTAGAATGCATAGACATTGATGATGAGATGATGGACGATAGGACCGGTTGTTGAAATTACGATATGGCGACGGATATGCTGTAGAGCTGTAAAGGAGAGTATAGAAAGACAAAAAAATGAATAAGAATAAGTGGAGGGATTAGAAGATAAAATAATGTGGGCTCGAAACGCAAACAACTTTCCCCGCGCTTCTCAGTTTACTGGTACTTGTATTCGATGGAATCAAAATCTCACAACCCAAACAACCGTTTGCATCAGATATTTACTGGCTGATCATTACAGAGGCATTTATAAACTTTTATAAAACTGAAACAAAACGACAAGGTGGGAAAGGGATCAATTGCAAAGATCTTCAAACCTTGGCAAGTCGTTTACGTTGCAAAACCAAGAAACCAGATAATCTTGTAGAAGTGGAATGCTCTTTTGTTATCTATTTTCTTTCAAATGGGTATACTCAAGATACTGACACTCGGCAACCACTGACCTGGAAGCCCATGCTTGCACTCATCTGTCTGCTGAATAATGATGTACACGCAAAGAAAAGGTTTCTTGACAGTTCTCTCTTCTTGTTTCATAGGTCAAACAACATAGCACAAGTGGACTACGGAGAGATTTTTCATGACATAAAAGATAGAGCATTTAATTTATCCCGAATATACAAGAAAAAGGTTTTTTTTAACTTGTGAAAAGCATAACAGGACTTTGTATTGACGAAACCATGGCGTATTTCAAAGGCCGTTCCCAATTCAAGGTTTATAAATCTGAAGGATAAACCCACCAATGAAAAATTCAAATTAAGTGAAGTTTGCGAGAGAAAATCAGGGTACGTCTCTGTTCTCTAGTGATGTACTGTGTCAAAAGACGAATCCACGTTTCTCTTTGCAAAAAACCCAAAAAAACACACACACAAAAATAAAAGAAAGAACCACTTTGGAATGTTTTAGGTGTGAAGGCTCGAGGGAAGCGGAAACTTAGCAGCTTTTGGAAGTGTATAAATCAGCCCTGCTTTTGAAAAGGTGAAGGTGTTTTAACTCAGGACCCACTCAACAGACTACCCAACACTACAAACAGCACAGTGGTTGAGTGTGATAATGGCATCATAAACATGAAAGGGTATTTTTTTGGCATTTTTTGTGCAATAAAATCGAAACTTGAATCTGCTTGTGCCGTCTTGAGTGAGAGAAACGAAAAGCTGAAGAGGCCAACGGGCTTGGCTGCAATTGTAATATGAGGAACAAACAAAATAGCACGCTTTCTAATTGGCCACAGAAACTTAACGTAAGATTGTTTTCCTCCTAGACTACAGAGATTTAGACAGGTTTGCTTTCTCGGTGGATTGCCTGATTTTGTGAGATTTGAAAGTGGAACTATCATTGGGACAAGTGCAGGTGACCAAAACGGACTTAAGAAAATGGCTCTTTTTTTCCAAAACTCGACCTGGCAGATATTGCAATTAGACTCCATTATTACTGGATCCCTTCCGAATTGGAAAAACTTCTTGTACCCTAAGTAGAGTCTTTGAAGTGACACCTGAGTACCTTATTTGAATCAGACTATAGTACTGAAGGCTTTCCAGTCTACTCAGTAACACTGTTTGTTCTTCATTTTAATTTTTTTTTTGGTTCTGTTCCCCTTTCTTCTCTCCAACACTGATCTTTGCAAAATTGTATTTTCAAGACCAGACTTGTTTTGTAACATTACCATTCCCGATTCCTTTTCTTTGCTGTAGTTTGAAGATCTTCATAGGGCTTACATTTGGTTGAATGGGTTAGGGAGTAGTAGTAGTAGTAGTATAGGGTTTTACGGCGCTCGCAACTGCGTAAGGTCATATGAGCGCGTGAAACACACGTTGTTTACTTTCGCAAAAGTTCACTGCACGATTGGTTAACTATTAGACTTTAAAATGCTAAAATATTAAAATTCAGTGTAAATATATTTGCGATTTAAAACAACTCTTATAAGTAACAATACAAATTTTAAATAGTACGATTTCACTTTACAATTTGCCATAAAGGCCAATGGCCTTCATAAAATTAAAAATTTTGCTGGGACCAACGACGGAAAAAATGTCTTGCAATTTCTTGCATTTATAATATTTCCTTCGGATCTCTCCAAAGTCTAGACAATCGGTTAAGATGTGTCTAATGGTAAAATCTGTGTCGCATCCGACACAGAACGGCTTCTCATCTCCCTGCAAGAGGTATTTGTGGGTCAGGGCCGTGTGTCCGATGCGCAATCGAGTAAAAATGACTTCGTCTCTCTTCTGGAGAGGTCCGAAGGATTTCGCTGTTCAAGTTTGGGTTTTATAACTTTTTTTCTGCTTTTCCCAGTGGCTCTCCCACAGACTGGAGGGGGGTAGGGAGAAGCTATACTAAAGAAAATACAGATGTCAGGAACATGTAGGAAAATACAGGATTGACAAACCCACATAATTTTTTTAGGAAACACAGAAAAACAATAATCGTCAATTTTGACAGAAGAAAGATCAAGCATTGGCAAATTGTGTTCCGGTGGTCAACATTCATGAATCTTAACTCATGTCTCTTTACTTGCAATAGCAAAGAAATTGACGATAGAGAGAGAGAGAGAGAGAGAGAGAGAGAGAGAGAGAGAGAGAGAGAGAGAGAGACAGAGAGAGACAGAGAGAGACAGAGAGAGAGACAGACACAGAGACAGAGACAGCGACAGAGACAGAAAGGAGGGGTGGGGGGAGACAGAGACAGAAAGAGACAGAGAGACTTAGGTAGAGAGAGGAGAGAACAGACATTATTATTATGTGGTTTAGCAGTTAGACGCTTCGCTTCCGCTCGCTGAATACCCGAATTCAATTCCTGAGTGGGGAGAACATTTCTATCAAGTACCTCGGTCTTTTTTCTGAGATACCGGATTCCTTTCACCCTCGTTGACCTTGACAGGCATGGTCGGAAGCCCGCCTCCTTAAAGATTTAAATAATGTTGAGGGGGGGGGGTAAAGCTTCTACAGTTACATTTTAAGAGAGAGAGAGAGAGGGAAACAGACAGACAGACAGACAGACAGACAGACAGACAGACAGACAGACAGACAGACAGACAGACAGACAGAGAGAGAGAGAGAGAGAAAGAGAGAGAGAGAGAGAGAGAGAGAGAGAGAGAGAGAGAGAGAGAGAGAGA